AAAATTTCTAATATTGCACTTGGGACAAGTCATAGCTAAGCTACTAACATTAGCATTCCAGAACAAAATCATAGATAGCCTTCAGAATTTTAGTGAGCTGCCTTGTGTTATCATTCAGATTTCTTTACGGGTATTTTGATACACTGTACTGTTCAACTTATGCTCACTAGTAAGAGTAATTCTTTTAATTTAAAGGTGAAGGCAAGCCCTATGCTGAAAGCAAGCAATATGCTGTATGCTACCAGGAATGATTTTTGGCAATTTCTTCATTCATAATATTTCACACTTCAGCCAAAATACTGTAGTGATTCATTTAACTCTTGTACAAGATCCCAGCATACACATGAAAGACTTCAATGCACATGGGAAGTGAAATACACAACTCCTTTTACATATTATTTCCGCCAAATTACCACATAGGCAGGAACCTTTTGTGGCTCACTGAAAGACACAAGTAGATTAATCAGTATTTGCACACAGTGAGACATGTACACTTCACAAGCCAGGCACAGCAGAAGCATAACTGGCATCTTTTCACATTGTATCAGTCTCTGGCCAATGAAGTCCCAACAGGGAGGGTCACTGCAACAAAGCCGGAATGGGGGAGAAACCCAAAGGGAATCCCAGCAAGTTGCAGACAGGGATTTTCATAAACATGTAAGGGAGGAATTAACCACTCAGTCAGTATTAGGGATCAGAAAAAGGGATCATAACAAAAAAAAAAAAATCCTCTATATTCATTCCCAAACACGCTTTGAGGGGTGGGATAATCAAGAATCATAGCAAGTGGCAGTCTGATGGCTGCTGGGGAAAACAGGACAGGGCTTAATTAGTAACTAAAGCTGGTGCTCTGAACTGGCATTTAAAGATCTTGTTACATGAGTATTGATTGGATTTGCATTTTATGGAAGCATGAAGATTTTGGCAACTGAAATCTGCACTGTAAGAGAAAAGCCACGAACTTTGCACCCACTGTGCAGTCAAATTAGAGAGAGTGGAAAATTGCAGTTCAGCAGCAGCTTCTCTCCAGTCATACCTTGTTTACATTCCCAAAACAGTTTCACTTAAAACAGTTAAAGAGATGCCCTTTCTTTCCTTCACCTTTAAACCCAGCTTTACTACTTCAGAAAAAAATTAAGACTATTAAGAATCACTAAGGTCCATTTTATTAGTAGCAGCAGTTTCAATTTTTATGTAAAAATAGTGTCAGCAGCTCTTACTCATGATGCAAGTAAACTTTTGTTTTAGTAAGCACTATTACATAAAAAGCAGAGTCATTTATTTGGACCAGTACTTTTTGCCTTAGTTTAGCAAATTGCAGAAGTAATCTGGCTCTGAGGGGCCCTACTGATGTAAGGAACAAGTCTATGCATGTGTACACATACAGGATTAGCCTAGGAACGACCAGACTTCACTGTACATACTCTTCAGAGTAAGAGGAGTTTTCTTCCACTCTTACTTACCATGACAAGTATTTGGGGCATTTTAATACAGACACTCTGTAGCATTTGTTTTATCTTCGTATTTTGCTATAGGTCCTGTATAACTCACGCAGCTTGCAGGCTTGGTCTTTGGGACCAGTAACACCACAGTGAGCTTCAGCTACATGAAAACGTAAGAAAATCATACTTTGAAAACTTGGTGCAAAATTCAGTACGGGATACTAGGGAAGCTGAGTTTTAGCAGATGATCTTCAGACATTCATCCATCTCTGGATGCAAGTCATTCACACAAATCTTCATTTAAATGAAGCGATGCATCTCCAGTAAAGTGTTAAAAGCAAAGCATTACATAATCAGGGAAGTGTAAAGTAATTAGCAAAGCACAGAATAATGGAGCTGTGACTCTCAGGATTAGAAAAGCTGCACTTCAATTGCATGATCTCTACTCTCCTAAAACCTGAGCAAGTATCCCCTAGGTAAAAAAAAAAAAAAAAAAAAAAAAAAAAAAAAAATCAAAAATCAGATGTCACTCCATTTACTGACATACTAGATGTGATTGTAGTTACCTACTGAACATGTTATCTACTATTCTTGCAGAATTTTGTGATGCTTATCCTTTTTCAGAAAGCCTAAAAAGGCTTAAAGTCTACTTTGAATCTGACTTCCCTACACTATCCTCAATTATATTTAACACATTATATATTTCTTACCATAAAAACATCAAGTTGTCCTTAAAAACAATGAAGAAAGCACTAGCTTGGTTTGAAAACTCAGACTTGTGCATATGCTTCCAACAGTCAGGTAAGTCATAATAAGGAACAAAAAACCATCAGAAGTCATTAAAAACAATATTGTGTAATTATAACCATCTTACAGGCTTTTTCACTCAATTTCCCGTATTTAAAAGCTTGTAGATGTAGAACTTAACCCTGCCTGCCCCCCCCCCCCCCCCCCCATTGCCACTCAGGCGGATTCTCACTTGGAAACGGATCGTAGCAGTTGTGTTTTCATTAGGAAAACTAAAATAGCCATACTCAGCAACTTGGGCAGCACCACAGTATTTCAGCAAGTCCACGAATATTCAGTCCTGAAACATGCTGGTCTAAAAAGGATTTAAACCAAAGCCTGCTCTTGGATCATGACAAAATTACAATGAAGTTGGCTGGTGCTTGCCTTTAAAGTGGCATCAGTTGATTTTCTCCAGCCTCAAATAGTAGCAATATTAGCTATAAAAAAAAATAAATCAAGAAATCATGCTGTCAACCAACAAGCAGCAGTCAATATGCAACATACTACAAAACAATATGAGGGATCTCTGCCCTATAATCACAGCCATATTTTAACTACCTTTTCCATGAACATACATGCAAACGGTACCTTCAACTGCAATCCTCAAATCTGCTCAACAGATGCTTGCACCCTACCCTGCACCGTGTAACCTCCTGATCCCATCCGCCAGCCAGGAACGCCAGGCCTGGCAGAGCATCTGCAAGGTGAGCCCGGAGAGAGCCTGACAGCGTGCCAGGCAGGAGGCCAGAGATGGGCCGCAGTGCAGCCAGCTGAAAGGGCACTCTGCACCTCCATCCCCAGGTGGAGCGAGGAGATCAGAAACCAGCAAGAGGGATTACCAGGGATCGGAAGGCTGGAAGATACTCTGACGCTTAAAAGCAATGTGTATGTGGCTTTTCACTGCTGTTTTTCTTTACGCCCCGTTTTCAGTTCCAAGCACAAGAGAACACCCCCAAGCTCTGTACAAAATCACTACTCGTGTTTCAGTATCTCGTGGAAAATTCAGGAACCACCTATCAATCTGGCAAGCACTGTGTTTTCACATGAAAAAAAGATCCAAATTCAGCTGCTTTACAGGAACGGTAGACTGAATGCAAGAAACTCTTCAGCGCTATCATGAATTCAGAACAGCGGTGGCAAATAAACCATTTCTGCAAATGAATCTTCGGTACTTTCACAGTGCCTAGCACCTACTACCCAGACATCCTCAGCATCAGCGGGCCTTGATTTTGATACTGCCATATAGCACGTGCCAGAAGAATCCTTAAAATCCATACCAGTCAGTAGCCGCTATGATTTATCAGAAAAATGCCTGTCTTGTTTTTCCACTCTCCAATGTTCTGTTTGTAAAACCTCCTCTTATAAAATATTCCATTACTATGTCAACTACTACAGGATAGTGGAATTATCATCTGTAATACCAAGTATATCAGATCGTCTTTGAAAACAACATTCAGATCTGAAAGTGTGAAATGATTATAAATGCTAGAAATATATGACAGAGTAATGTTTCTGGAAAAACCAACTTCCTGCATTGACAATTTTTTTTTTCCCCTTTTTTTTTTTTCCCCATGAAAACACACAAGGCTACAGTAAGATAGTCAAACATACTGGACTTGTCAACCTAGAAAAAGCATAATCTTAAACAGCATGAACCATGGTCCTTATTTCCATTTCAGGTATAACCACCAGGAACAACTATTTTCAGTATTTGGAAAGGCAGAAGTGATCTCACCAATCACTTTAATACAAATTATTACAACCTATTAAAATCAAGGAGATTTAAGCTTTCACAATGTAGGGATTTAATTTTTCCCACCACATAATTATGAAGATAAAAAACTTCAAGCATTGCTTCCATCACCAGCATCTTCCCTCCTCTGCCTGTTGTTGCAGCAACTATGAACATGAGTAGCATCTTGGAGTATCTCCTTACTCTCAACAGTATGAAGAGACTAAGAATTGGAGTTAAATCTAATATTTTGACTTAAAATAATTTACACGAGATATGTGCAAGAAAATATCCAGCCTGTTTTGGAAGCAAGTCTCTTCACAACAGCTTTGACTTTTACATTTAGAATTTTTCTGTTTGGTAAGATGCAAGTATAAGGGAAGTCTAACATCTACAGTTATGCAAGTACACAACCCCCCCACATACATTACTAGTAAATTATCAGACTGCATACAAGATATCTGTAAAAGTAATAAAACCCTTTGATGCTCCATATTTATGCTGGCAAATACCTCTCCTGATATAAAAGGCACTTTGAAAACCCAATATGGTTTGGTTCATTAAGTTTGCAAAGTACAAACAATTGTACAAACATACAATTATACTGAAGTATGTCAGCCATTGTGACATTATCTACAAAACAAGTTTCCAGTTGTTGATAACACTGGTTTTACGGGAACGAGCAGTGGTTTCAGCAGCTTTACTGAAGACATGACAGGGTTTCCAGTACCACAATCTTAGGAAGTAAAAAAACCCTCAAAAACTTACAAGTTTAGGGGCCACAAAAAGACAAGACCCGAAGTCCGTAACATTCATTCAATATTTACTCCTTAGAAATTAACTCCATCCATAGCCCAAAGGCAGAAATCTGTTCAGTCAATTCCAGAACAGTGGTGGAGGCAGGCTCTGTCTTGAAAAGCATGTTGTTATACCATTACAGTACAGAAAACTTTGGTCCAACAGCACCGTTTCAGAAATCCACTACATGGCTGCGACATCAATCTGTATGTAAAGCTGTCTTACTCCCGCCTGCAGAAAACAGAAGGAAAGTTAAAAAAACCCTGTAAAGCCAGAGCAGTTTAACTGTCCCAAACACCAGTCCACATCAGTAAGTTACCTTGCAAGAAAACTCAGTATCTTTTTTTTCTTATATCTTACGATTCATCTTCCACATTTGGCACATGGTTCAGAGACACTGGCAATTTGGAAACGTACAAAGTTTGAGCACACTGTATGAATACGTAGTTCTTCACACAGTCAAGTGCAATATGTAATTATATATTAACATTAGTTTTGCTACATTACCTTTTTTGATTCATCCTAAATAACTGTCACACGAAGCTGCACAAAAGCAATTCTTTCTTTTGTACAAGCTTAACTTCCTCAAAACTGATCTGCTTAAGGAGCTGTCAGTTTAAAACGGAGTTAATCACAAGAACCTAACATGGGTTTTGTTGTTTGAACCCGTTCTACGCTAAGATTTCAGCAAGAAACAACAATGGCTACAGTGAATTTACATGACATCAGGAAACAATAAAGTTACGTTTTCGTTTGGTTTTTAAACAAAAAATGCAAGCACTGATTAAATTGTTAACAGAAGCTGGTTTTATTTACAGCATCAAATATACCAGATCAGAAGCCCTCTTCACTGTCCAGCTGACTCAGAGAAGTCAGTAGTTAATATGCCTATAAAATATTACACTTTAGCTGACAATATTTTGTTACCTAAAAACACTGGTTATAAACAGGAATATTTGTCTCCTCCTCCGCTACAGAACTTTCCATTACTCAAAAGCAGAGAAAGGACATTATGGGAAAACATGGTAGTTTTCAAATATAGTCCTCCAACATCAAGAATAAAACCAGGATGTTTGGCTCTGGATGGTATAAGAGAGGGAGTTAAGTTTCCAACTTTAATCTTCACAAAGTTCTCTTGCTGGAGAAGAATTTTCTATTTTATCTCAATAGACTCCAGGTTGTACTTGTAAACAATTCACATGCAGTATCTGTACTGGAACGGGCAGCCAACTGAATTTCATGTTTCATGATTAAAAGTACAAGGAAGTAACAGAAAATCCCTGAAATTGGTAAAATTGTAATGTTAAGGCAAGAACTATCAACTTCTAATAAAGTTTCTGTTGTTCACAAGAATTCTAGCATGTCATATCAGCTATAAGTGCTATCAAATACATCACCATCTATCTAAAAAAATACAACCTGTAGAGAATTAAATGGGAACACGATGGTTGTATACGTGACAATTGATGGTTATGATTTAACTAGGGATCATCACAGCATGGAGGTTACTAAAAGACAACAAAATATGCAAAGACCATGGATCCTCAGAGGTACAGAAATGCATGACAAATACATTCTTAGAGGGATAGAAATGAATGACAAATACAGCATCAGCACAGTGAAAAACTTAAGCAGGTCCAGTCTGTGGTCGGAAGCCCTATCTTGAGGGAAGCCTCATCTATTTTCTTGGTTCCTCATAGGTCAATATAGGGTTTCAACCTAATTTGATACACTTCAGACAGCTACAGCTGTTCCTTCCATTAAGTGGGATCAAAAACTAAGGGAGAGAGGAACAGTAATTCTGTCTACACTGCTGAGTGTTTTGAAATTGTTCTATACAACTGGAACAAAGCAGCTTTTCAAAACACACTGACACCAAAACCAGAAACATTTCCTTTTTCTTGATAATAACCGTGTCACTTCACGTGACAGGCAATTTACAATTTGAGATGTGATTTCCACTGATGAGACATACCTGAGTAAAAATATTGTGAGTCTGGCTTAGAATCCACCTTCCGTCAGCATCAGGAGCTACTAATAATTTCAAAGTCCCTATGTAAACATCAGTACAGAGGGTCCAGAAATGTGGATCATGTAAACTGTAAACTCCTTGCAACTGCTGCACCTAAAAACACAGGCAAATTCAAAAAAAATTTCAGAAAATGTTTGTCTGTAGTATGGATTGGGTTTTTTTTGTTGTTGTTGTTGGTTTTTTTGTTTTGTTTCTTTTTTTGTTGTTGTTTTTTTGTTTGTCTTTTTTTACAGAAAATATTACAAAAGCTGATGCATTATTCTACTTCTAGTTCAATGTGTAATTTGTGGTATTTCACTTAAATTCCTTATTACTCTCAGTAACTGTAAGGAAAGTGGAAACAGAGTGTATGTATGTGTAATGATTTTGTATCTTGCTGCATTTTAATCTACATATATTTTACTATACCCATTTTTGAAAACAGTGGTGTCCAAGAGAGAAAAGTCACAGTTATTAAATTTCAGAGGACATTCAATTCAAACAGCAATTTTTGCAAAAGCAGGAATTTTCTCAAAAATAAATTTTGAGAAATTCTAACTATTAACATAAACATTACTTTTTCTGTAAATATGTTGTTAGGTTTGTCCTGTCAAAACCCTTCTTTTTTCCTCTGTCCAATTTTAGCAAGTCCTCCACATGACAGTTACAATCCTGTAACTTCCAGAGGAAAGATGGCACTCCTACAAGTGCTCTGTATTAACTTTGCAAAGGCACTTAAATGTTCAGGTCATGAGACAGTAACAGACAAGTTAAACAGGAATACCCAGAAAGGTCAAATCCAGAGTAACCTACATATTATTGTAAATATACTTTATACTCTTTATACTCCAACATTACTCCACCTCAGAAAACAGAAGAAACATTCTGCAATTTGCATCAGCACAAAGTACTTTGAGAGGAAGAGCTTCAGGATCTATTTTTCTAAACTAACATTGCATGTTTTAAAACACCGACTTGAACCTACATACAATTTAGGACTTCAGAAAAATAAGAATCAAACTGGTACTTCCATTTGTATAATCTAAGGAACCTTTCACAGGCATTACTGGAAAAACATCACAAAATATCCTCATACACACAGCTGATGCTCATTCAGTCAACAGCTTGATCTGAAGCAAAAACTGTTTATGAGCTCACCCTCTGGTAGCACTGGGGCAGGATGTTTTCCAGGGAAGGAGGAGTTCGCTGCATCAAAATTCCAATGGATTCTTTTAAAAGTGGAACAATGCTGGAAAGAAAAAAATGGAAGTTAGCTACTATTAAATTTTTAAAAGATGCAGAACAAAGAGCAACATAACATTCTTTAATGCTCTTAAAGAATTTTTCTTTAGTTGTTTCACCAGAAGCTGAGAAAGTTGCCATGAAAACTTGGTACAGAAAATAAAAGGATTGACAAAACTGCTATGGTGTCTTACTAAAGGCAAGATTACTTCTCCCCCAGATTTTCCACAGAGACAACTGGTGGACAATCACAAAAGATTAATAGTTTAATCAGAGGATTTGAGATGAAATCTCTTAGTGTCATATAAGTTATATGAGAAAGCAGCTGGTAAGTATAGCTCACAACCAAAACCTACTTCAATGTCAATCACTCACAGCCAACCATGAAAATATGCAACTGAAATTGGTTTTGCTTTTGTGTCTCTCTTATGAACTAAGACAATAATGGGGAGATCATAAAACAAAATTAGTATGGACCACTCCAGCTATAACAAAGTTATTTTGTCAGAAACAGACAACTTAACATATTCTTGAAATGAACTAAGTGTAGGGTCTCATCCAAGATCAAGGACTGAACATTTGGAAGCAATTAGGGGTTCCCTCCTAGACAAATGGTCTTGTTTAATCAGAAAACTACGATGACACTTAATATTCTTGCTTATTAGTATTTTTTTTTAAATAAAACCAGGAGATGAGTAAGCTCATAGCCTGAAGCTACCACTAAAAATTTATACTCTTAATATGTATTCAGTATGGTGTTTTTTTGTTTAAGAGTAGTGCATCATGTCTGGCTCAGTAGAGCATCCTAAAATTTTCAAGAGGATGACAAACCTATAGCCCAATACTAAAATTTAAATAGCAACCTAATTTCAAGGGCATGTAAGTCACCTAACACTCTAAACCAGAAGTGATGATGTATTTCAGAAATTGTAAGCTGAAGAATTTCAGTGTTCAGCAAGCTCTGTCATCACAGCTGGAGTACATAGAGTGATGGGATAAAAAGAATCCAACAACATTTGTAAGAGATGAATTGGGCTGTCTGTTAAAGGAAACACAGAAGCTTTGTTTAAAATCTCATGAAGTGATGTAGAACACACTGCATAGACCAGCCACATGCTTGCAGATGGTGAACATGACCTAACCGTTACTTTCCATTTCTAAAGAGATGGTTCCATTTGTAGATGGAAGCAGTACTGGCTGATCAACTGCTCAGCTCACTCCTTGGCTAATCCCTAGCCAGCAGTGAGAGGGAGTTAGAGGGTGCATGACTCTTGTCTAATGAGCCCCTAAAAAAACAACCACCCTAAAACTAAGTCTTCTTGCAGGCACAGTGGTTATTCCAGCTAAATTCGCTGCCTGATGCACTCCATCACATGCCCTCACACAGTTGCACTGCTACCGAGGAATCAGTTCAGAAATAGGAAGAAGCAATTAGGGGTGGGGCAGGAGCTGCCTACACTGGACCTGTCACCACGACAATTAAACACTCAGCAATGCAATAACTGTCAATCTGTCCAAAGCAATCTTAATTGGAGTGTCACATTCTACAGACAGTGGATTACAAAAGTTTAGGGGGAAAAAGGTTTTCTTATCAATGGACCCGTCTCACTAAATAATGTCCATGTCACAAGCATTTCATCAAAGGGAGCTGGAGCTGCCAAAATACTCCACTGCTGAATTGATTTCAGTTTAACTCACTATTTAAAATGCAGGTTTGCTTCTTAATAAAAACCTTGAAAGACCAATAAACAAGTTCAGGATGCAAACTGAATACAAGATCTCTGAACACTGACTCTGATAAATTTAACAAGGCCTCTCCAACCTATGCATCCAAAGGCTTCAAAAAACACACACGCACAGGCTGCATATTTTTTCCCAGGAAAAGGACTCAAGCAATGGAGAATGTAGGAGCTTACTTTTTTATTGGAACTAAGAGTGAAACAAAATCCATGAAAAATCTAACCAAAAAGTGTCAGATTTGCACAACTTATTTATACTATTTGATAAAACTGACATATGTTAACTAATGGAATGGAAATGAATTGGCAAGTCGGAGATTTGGAGAGAGCCTATGGAAATTTAAGGCTAGCAGGCTGGGCACGTTAACCTGTTCCCAAAAAAGGATTTGGTCAGTGAAACTGGTTGATTCATTCTGGAACAGGATGCACACTGAGAAGAGGAAGTTTAGAACCCCGTTAGAAAGCTCTTCAGCTGAAGATGCATTTAAAACTAAGATTGCTTCATTCTGAAATCCTTGTTGCCCAACAAACTGATCTTTCAAGATTAAGTCTATGCAATCACCAGGGTGTGTACAAACACCAAAGACTGTCTCTCCTTGACAGACAACGGGATGTAGTTTTAAACAGCATGTACTGGAACCATTAGCCCAAAATCAATTAATATACAAAAAGGTGAATGGAGAAAGACACTCCACTCCTAGTATAGGTAGTACAGCTTCAAAGATAGTCTCTGCTGGCAAGATTTCACCTATTCATGTTTTTGTAATGGCTCCACGCTCTAAAACTTTAGGAGAGAAATCTCTTGTGCAAGTTTTTGGCAATAATGCTTCACAAGTTATGCTTATATCCAGACTTCACAAAAAAGCTAAAGCCATGATGTTTAACTGAAACAGCAACATCTTGAAAGTCCAAAGAAATAAATCAAGATGTGCCTTGATACTGTAGGTGAAAGTTGAAGCGTATCTCAGGTGACACCTCCTTCTTCTAACTGAGACACAGCATCCGGCTACAAATTTACCTTTTGACAAGCTGAAAAAGCCAAGAGACAGCTGCAGTGATGTGACATGCCCTCACAAATGCTGTTAGAGCACAGAAAACCATGTGCATCCAAAAGGGACACTATCTTAAAAGGCAGTCTTTTACTGTAAGCCAAACTAACATGATGAACTATAGAATCCAGTTTTCTGATGCCTCAGGTTTTCCGTTGTTTCATGTATACTAGTGAAGTACGAAATCTTTAATTAAAACCTGAAGGTCCAGAGTATGCCCCTTTCTCAATCAACCAACTCAAACCCAGTATTACTTAATCACCAGGAGGCACTAGAAATATTAGTTCCATCTCATGTGACTGAAGAAAACACTAGGAAAGATGACTATACCAAGCAGGATGAAAATGTGGTTAGAGAATTTGACCAAGCTTTCCTTTTTTTTTTTTGATTAGTCATTAGTGCAAAATACACATGGTTGTCTCTGCAGCAACTATTGCACTGGTACTTCCCCCTTCTATTTACAAAAAGATTATTGAGGAAAAGAAACAATGCTGCATTCTCACCAAGTAGAGAGTTTTTTCATGCATAAGCAGTCTGTAAGCTTTATTGCTAAAGCAGACACAGTTTTCCAACGCTCTCTGACTACCAAGCCTTGAACCTAAAATACCACACTTTCACAAGACAACTGAATTTGAAAGAAGCACCTACCCACAACAAGACTTGGGACAGAAACAAATCCTCTACAAAAGCCATAATAGCAAAAGCAGCTAATGTGTGCAGAATGAGGTGGTACCACATCACACTTTCACATACAGTGTTACAGAGGAAACGAAAGGTGTTCAAACAGATAAAAGCTATTGACCTGAACCTGATAAAACCAGCCTGCCACTACTACACATGGCTTGATTAACAATGAAGAGTGAAAAGCATCAGACTCTTAATCAACTTGCATCACATTCAGATAACACTCATACCCATTTGAGTCCCACCCTGTTTATGCCACTGTTCTTGTAGGCATAGCTAGCGAGCCTCTGACATTGTCATCATCTTGGACAACAAGGCTGAAAACAACTCCGGGGTAAAGAACCTTTGACACAATCACTGTAGTCAGAGCACAGCCAGAAATTCACTTAGCACTCTCAGCACTACAGAAAATAGAGGATACTCATGATAGATTTTGTGGAAGGTAAACAACCACTGCTAAGACTCAAGACCAGCTATGGTTCTTCAAATACCATAGCTGAAAATCTACAGCCAGATTTCAAAATCTATTTTTTTTTCCAGTCACCATCCACAATTGTAGTGCCCAGGCTGTCAATCTATTTCAGAACTTTAATAAAACTTTTCTATTTGGCAATGGCAATTTTAATCAGACTTCAGGCTTTGCTCAAGACAAGAATCACAGGTCTAATATTTACTTTTCCAATTTCAAATTGTCTGTTCGCAAATAATGTGGTACTTTGATTCTCAGGCAAGGCTGGCAGGTACCATTACCCTGTAAATAAAGGTAGTGCATGACATTTAGCAATGATGGCTCAAAGCACCAATGACAAGCCTGCTAGTTTAGAGTTTTGCTATAGAGCATTCCTTCCGAACCTTAGTGAATGAAGCACTTCATTTAAAAAAGTACATTTTTGTACTGGCTAGCCCCAACCATTGTAGGCATATATGATGTTACAGGCATGTCCGCCCCCAAAGCTCTTTCATATTTTATCATGTTCAAGCAGCTCTAGACTTCATGTAAAAATGATGTAACCCATGGAAACAACTTCACTAAATGACTGAAGTAAATTGCCTCATTTCTTTGACCACTTAATAGGTAGTCTGCATTCCCTATCCAATGTAGTATCATATTTAGTCTACAGTGCTCTTCTAGAAACATGTGGCTCCAATAGTGGTTTCAGACAAACTTCTTGCTTTATACTGGAGTTGTGGTTTTTGTTTGATGACTAATTTCATATAGCTGATCAAAATACTAAAATTGCTTCAACATTTCAGAATCAGGCTTAGAATCCTATGGCTAAAAACTAAATTAACATTTAGTTTTAAATGTTAAAAGCAGTTTAGAGACTTAAGAAATTAATTATTGATTCAGGCACATTAAATTATGAGGAAAACACCTCAGAAAAGACTTGAAGAGTGTCAATCTGAACAACTATGAAATAGCCAAGCTTTTTTTTATTTTATTTTTGAAAAAAAACCTTCAAACTAAACACTAGTAAAATAGACTCATCTATTTTAAGCATGTCCTATTTATGCTTTATGATTACATGGAGACT